GAGCCAAATAGCTGGCTCATTCATGCAGGTCATAGTTGTCCCAAAGATGCTTTTTCACGAGGCAACTGAACTTTCTTGTTTTTCTTTGAAGACATTTCGCTTCTCATCCATGTAACTTCTTCAGCTCTGCCTGGATAGTGGTCTTCAAAGAAAAACAAGAAAATCCAGTTGCCTTGTGAAAAAGTATCTTTGGGACAATAGCTGGTTATTAACAAAAAAAAAAATATTACTAATTTCTTTGGAACTCCTATTACTAAGAATTTTTAGGTGGCAATGGAGTTCTGGTTAAATTTTTAGAAGTTGTGTGGATCTATTGTATCACCTAACAGTTTTGTGGTACTTTAAAAATTAACCCATTAATTGTAATATAAATTGTTGTGGACTACCATGTACTTTGTCAGTAGTAAGTAGTTATTTTGCCATTTAACATGCAAGTCATATCATGTGCATACTGGTACAGATAGTCCTTGACTTACAGCAATTCATTTAGTGACCCTTTGAAGTTACAACTGTACTGAAAAAGTGACTTATGATTGTTTTTCACGCTTATGGCCATTGCAGCATCCCCATGGTTATGTGATCAAAGTTCAAATGCTGGGCAACTGGCTCATATTTATGATGGTTGCAGTGTCCCAGGGTCATGTGATTACCTTTTGCAACCTTCTGACAAGCAAAGTCAATGGGGAAGCCAGATTCACTTAACAACCATGTTATTATCTTAAAAACTGCAGTGATTCACTTAACAGTTGTGGTAAGAAAGGTTGCAAAATGGAGAAAACTCACTTAACAAATGTCTCAGTTAGCAACAGAAATTTTGGGCTCAGTTGTGGTCTTAAGTCAAGGACTAGCTGTAGGTCATCTCTAACATGCAATTCTATGTACGCCTGCTTATCTAGGTTTGAAAAAGTAAAATTATTAGCTAAATACCAAGCTAGCATTTCTTCAGTGAAATTGATGTCCTATTGTTAGAATAGCAATAGTAGGAAATAATAAATAAACTTAGAAGATATAAATTTTAGAAGGTGTACATTAGAAGATGTAAATCCGTAGAAGATATCAATTTCTCCTAAAGTGTATTTATGAGAAATGTAATTGTTTTCTAAAGACCTAATTAGTTATTTTGCATTCATGTAATCTGTAATCAGATGGAGCCAAAGAACTTGTTCTGGCTATGTAAACTGTATCTTTCCATTCTTTCTATTGCTTAGGATGTATTGAACCTTCTTTATTTCTGAAACATGTAGAACTCTCAAGATATTCCATTATTTTAATACTTATGAAATATTATTTTTTGAAGATCTTCTGAAAAATGTTTTATGGTTCTAGATTTTCCGTGTTATTCTCTATTATAATATATAGTCTTTCTGTGTTATAGTCTGCATTATATTAGGTATATTTTGACAAAAAAATGTATCCTGCAATATTATCATTAAAGAAAATATTTAAAAAAGCATTTGCTTTATGTAATAATTGTGGAGTCCTGCCAAAGTATTTAATTACTAAATTTCCATAAATAATTGAAGACAAGTAAATTGGTCTCAGACACAAATAGTTCAATGACAGTTCTTTTTAGAGTAGCAAATAAGCCAATAAACATTAAGTGCTTGTATTATTTATTCTTCTGGAATGGTTATACAGTATAGCTTCCTAAATTAATTATTGCTTTTCTTTTAGAGGAGGAAAAATGTATGGTTGTCATTATAAAACCTGATGCTGTTGCAGAAGGAAAAGTTGAAGAAATTAAGCAATTGGTGAGCATAAAAACACACATACAATTTTAAATGAGAATAGAAGGAATTTGCTAAATTGAATCCATAAAATTTCATGAATCCCCTGAGCTGAACAGAAGATACATTGTTATGTCAGTTTATTGTGAGCCATGCCAAAGCTTGTTAAGAGCCCAAGTAAACTGTCCTACATGGCAGTTTTGCTGCTCTTAGATGTATCATTGAATGACTGCTATGACATGGATGAGACACCTAAGAATGGGCCAAGGCTTTAATCATGCAGGGATTATTTTTATTTATTGAGTCCTTTTACCCCCTCCCACTCACATCAACAAATCCCCTTCTCTACTGTAAAAAGGGTATTTGATTAATAAAGCTCTTTCTTAATAGGGTAGTCTAGTTCAGACACTGGATACCCTAATACAGTGGTGGCAAACCTATGGCACGGGTGCCAGAGGCAGCACTCGGAGCCCTCTCTGTGGGCACGCACGCCGTCGCTCCAGTCCTAGGCCTTCAACTGGATTTTATAAAACCTTTTCGCTTTAGGCCTCCACCGCCATGTGCAAAAAAAAAAAAAAGGTTCAACCAGTCAATTTCAACTTCTCGCAGGAAAAAAAATATATTGCAAAGTTGGAATTGATTGGTTGAACTTTTTAGTCCCACCCAGTCTGCCGTTACCACCGCAGCCATGCCCACCCAATTGGCCACGCCCACCCAATTGGTCACACCCACCCGGCACTCGACGATGCATAAGTGGATTTTGGGTTGCAGTTTGGGCACTCAGTCTCTAAAAGGTTCGACATCACTGCCCTAATATCTGGACTATTTTAATATGTTTTCTGTAGCATTACCATGCATATGATTTAGAAGATATTATTGTACAGAATGCAGCAGCCAGATTGCTGAAATAAGCACCTTATTATGCACCTATTGGTGTTGAAGTTCATGCATTGGCTACATATTAGTTATTGAACCAAGTCAAGGTTTTTCTAAGGGGATTCAAAATTCTAATCATTATGTTGCCTCTTAAATCTACCAGACCTACTAAGATCATTGGAAAAGTCATTATTGTGACTTACTGCCAGATGTGACAGCTGCTTTTTAGGAATGCTCTTCTCTCTGGCATTCAGGAAGTAGCAGCCTTGATGTGTTTTGGCAGCTCCTAAAGTGCAGTATTGTTTAGGATCATTTTTGTAATGGACTTCAGTAAAGATATTGAATAAATAAGATAATTAATAAGTCATATATAAGGGAAGATGTGGCTGACTTTGAAAAACTATGACCTGATTAGTATTTAGATGAGAGATCACCCAGTAATTGTGAGCTGTAGGCTAGTGAAAAAAGAAGCTGGAAGAACAAAATGAAATTTAGTGTTAAAAAAAACATGTAAATCCAGAGAACTTTTACCTTTTTAGTGAGGTGTTCATGATAGTCTGTATCCAAACACACACACAAGTGGTAAAATCTTTTACAGTTTGACAAGTGACAAGTTGTTGTTATTACTATTATATTTATGGAGGTTGGTATTCTGCTACAAGGTCATGAAGAGCCAGAATGGTATACTGGTTAAAGCTGTTGGACTAGCACTAGGGAGTCAGATTCAGATTCACCTTCAGTTATGGAAACTCACTAGCTGATTTTGAGTCAACCCTACCTATCCCTTAGGAATGCTATTGTGGAAAAAAATGGACAACAGTATATATACTGATAGATACACACACACACACACACACACACAACATATATGTAGTATTATAAAGTATTAATATCATAAATCTAGTCTAATCAGTAAATAGCTTCAATCATTTAACCATAACTCATTTTACACTTTATTGAGAGGGCAGTTTAATGTTATGTTATCAGGAATGTAATCTTGGAGCCAAATAGCTGGCTCATTCATGCAGGTCATAGTTGTCCCAAAGATGCTTTTTCACGAGGCAACTGAACTTTCTTGTTTTTCTTTGAAGACATTTCGCTTCTCATCCATGTAACTTCTTCAGCTCTGCCTGGATAGTGGTCTTCAAAGAAAAACAAGAAAATCCAGTTGCCTTGTGAAAAAGTATCTTTGGGACAATGGCTGGTTATTAACAAAAAAAAAATTATTGGCTATTTAATTCAGTGTAAAAGGTTTAAAGTTTTCCCTTTATACTTCCTTATACATGCATGTTAGTCAGGATACAGAAAAAGTTCTTCTAGAGCACCAGAAAGATAAAACAAAACAAAAAAATAGCTACACTCTAAGTAATAGCTTATCAAATTTACCCCTTGCTCTATAATCCAATTGCTATTCAAAACTCCCCCAGAACTCTCCTGACTTTGGCTTTGAACTGTATTTTGCCAGTTCTCAGAATGTAGAACTTTGTCAAGCATTCTAATAAAATCATTGCCAACTTTAGCAATGGAAACTTTAGTTTCAGTCTCCATTTCAATGAGCGACAAAGATTATAACAATTTAAACACCTTCAAACACTGACCCTGTATGTCCATTTCCCACCAAGTATTAATTTAAATGAAAAGAATCTTAAGTTCTCATGCAGTACACGGAATATACACATTAAAAATGTACCTGTGTCCTACCTCCATATTAAACATTTTAGGAGCAGCATTCTTTGTGCAAAATCCAATGAATGTATAAATAGATAATTAAACATGGGAACTGATAACTTTCTTGGCACAATCACATTAACTAATAGTTTGCCTCTGGGTTTCTAACCATAGGAAAAAGGTTGGGTTGTTAGATGCGGGATGCAATAGAAAGAAAGGAAAAAAGTTTCAAGGGCATTTTTAATTCTAAGAATAATTGGTATCCCTGGTTTATTAAGGGATAAATTTCTTTTTTTTAGAAAATAAATTCCTTTAAGGCTTTGGTAAGATGTACATTTATTTAAATTTAGTTAACAAATTTCTTAAACTAAATAATTGGTTAATTAAAAAAACGTTTGAGAACTGAAACAAATAACCCATTTCCCCCTTTTTAAATATACTTGCATTTTTCTACAACTGAAGATTATTGAAGCGGGCTCCGTCATTCTTGCAGAAGAGAAGAAGATTTTAACTGATGAGCAAGTTAGGATTTTTTATGAAAGCAAATCAGAAGAGGTAATAAGCTCAAGAAGGTGGGGAGATAAGGGCACAGTTACTATTAAGATATAAAAGGCTTTCACTATAGAGGGAAGTATTGTTCATTGTAATTACTGAAAATATTTATGATATAAATTACATGTTAATATAGCTGTGAAAGTTCGGTCATATCATGCCTTTTAAATAACCCAGAAGTTAACACCATATGAATGAATTTCTCTCAGAGACTTCCTTCCCAATAGTGACTTAAAGTGTCTTCTTCCAGAATCATGAACTATCATTGTTCTGATATAACAGTAATGAGGACAAGCTTTCCATCATTTCAACAATGGATGGGTGATGTTAAAAAACATTATAATTCACTAATGTAGAAATGCTTCAATGCCAGAGCTAGAATAAAGATGTTTTGGTTCTTTGGTTTGAAAGTCTCTCTAGATGCCTTTCAGATTTCCCAACTCAGCATCACCAAAAGCAATTGTGTCAATTGAAAGAGAATTGGATAGAGACAGTTGGTGCATGCAGGTATTCTTGGCACCTCAACACCCCAATCAGGGACCAAAAAATATTTATGTCCTTTCTTTGCATGTCACTCTTCTACATGTCATTAATGTAGCCCTTCAAATAATGTAACATTTGGAAGGTAAACCTTTCTCATATTAATATAGCTTACAGCATCTACCAATTCCTTACCTATATTGATAGCATAATCATTCTCATTTCCAATATCTTGTCTTATAATATTGTTGAAGAAGCATAGATGCTGTTTGGGATACTAGCCTACTCATCAATTTCTTCTGACTATTTTATCCATACAGTACAATTCTAAAGTTTGTTTGGTCAAATATACTCCATTATACAGTATAAATATATATTGTCATCATTGGCTACAAATTTTAATTTTGATTTTCTTGTTTTTTATTGCTATACTGTATATGCTTCCATTTCCAGCTATGCTCACATTTTTGTTTATTTGTTTCAAATATCATGTATTTGATTCCCTGGCCTTTTGTTGCTAACTTGAGCGCTATAATCCATGGCCTCAGAGAGGTACGTAAACTGACTGCTTCCTGAATTGTTGAACTGAGAGCCACTATGCTAATCATAAAATATCTAGAATTTTTAAACAATCTTAAACTTAGAGTACTATTATAAACATTTCTTAGAAAATATCAGTTTACTTTCATACATACAGTTCTGTGTATTCAACCTACTTGTTCATCAATAGCCAATTATATATATAACAGATAACATGAACTAAGAATGAAAAAAGAATACTCTCTTTCATTAACATTAATTAATTTATTCTTTATCATTAACATTAACACTCATTCTTAACCAAGAACTACTACACAATGCAAATATCATATAACTAATCCATGTGCTAAAAGCTAAACATATTCTTTTCTATAACATATTCTACCCCTATATTTTCTTTCATCAATTGTGCCTTGCATCCTTCTTCCTCTCTAAAGTTCTAGTACTTTTGACTATAGTCATTGTTAGATATGAAGCACATAATCTGTTTGCTATATTTGATAGGAAATATTAATTTCTTTTGTGGTTCTGCTGACTCCAAGATGTCTAAATTAATTCTTATCTCTTAATTATAATGAAGTGGTTCATTGTAGTTAGCTCAATCATCCAAAGTCATAGGAAACCAGGTAAAGAAATTAGAAATTTTGAATTGTTATTTTGATGATTGGGCATTTTATGGTGAATATTTCAGGGGATAATTTTATCATATGAATTAGCTCAATTAGCTATGTCCTACTCTTTTTCTATTTAGAATAATTTTTTTCAGGCCATCCAGAAATGTTCCATATCGCTATATTTCCATGCCACTGTTCTAGCAGTAAGTGAAAAACCTTAAATAAAACAATAATAACATCACCACAATGTTTAAAATCCACACACAGACAAAAACAAAATCAACTTCTTAAAAGTAAAAAAACTAAATTTGAAGGGAGTTCTCCCATAAACATCTGTGTCTTCATTTTTTTCTGAAAGAAGAAATGGAGTCAGTTGAATACCTGGTAGAGATAAAACTATTCAGCTGAATTATTGTTACAGTAATTATTGTTACTCCTGGCACTGCAATGAGCTAAGCCTATTCTTGGAATATAATAAGTCTGTCAGCTGATCTTATCGTACAAGATGGTACAGTATTAGACAAGACAAACTGTAAATACTGAGGGCCTAAGGAATGTCAAAGTTTTACATTGGATCATCTGGCTCACAGACAATCATGTAGTGCTTTTGGATTTGGCTTTAACAATCCCATTAAACACTCATTTGAAGAAATGTAGGCCTGACATTTGTAACATGGGAAGAATGAGCTATTAAGCTGTTAAGAGGGAATTTTGAGAAAATTCCCTCTGCAATGTGGCATTTAGTTGTAATATGCTCTCTGTGTGACTTATGTTTAGCAGTCATGATCAAAGAAGGCTCTGAGAAAAGGGTAGATTAGAATGAAAATGGACTCTTGCAATTCAATCTATCTTACAAAGTTGTTGGGAAAAAGTAAGAGGAAAATCTTGACCTTCTGAATAAATGATGGAGAATTAATCTAATAAATAAACAAATCAATCATTCCTATTCAGAGGAGCTATTAAGTATGCTAGTTTGACATGTCAATTGTAGTCTGTTTGAAACAATGCAAGTTAGGGAAGCCTTCATTTTATAAAGTACTTCCATCTGATCTGTCTAAAGAATAGGATATGACAGTACTAGACAAGCTTTGATGGAGAAGGGCTGCACTTAATATCTGGAAAAAAGTTTAAGTGGCTGGAGATGAGGCAATGATATAAATGAGTAAGACCTGGATTTTTACAATTAAGAACAAATACTAATAAAAACATCAAATCATTCTAACTGGGTCCACAAAATGCTGTCTGAAGGTCCTGTTTAGGGTTACCTGATCCCTTTTGTGTAAAGGGGACTCTGAGGTTCATCTTTAGGGATGTGTTGAAGTATTTACAATGTACTTGGCTGACAAAATTGCTGAGATCCATTGTCAGTTGGAGACCAAGTATGGTATGCATTTACTAGGGATGCTTGGGGAACAACCTTACCCAGTTATTTGGGAAGAGTTTTATCCTTGGATGTAAGGAAGTTGTCAGGATCCTTGGGATGATAAATATATTATGTCCCCTTTTCAAGAAGCCAACACTAAACCCTGTTATTCCTGCTAACTTTTATCCAGCCTCCACCTCCCCTTTTTAGAAAAATGGTTGAAAAGAAGTTATGCTGCAGCTTCAGAGGATCCTGAGTGAAACAAATTATCTTAACCCCTTCTACTCGGGTTTCAGGCCCAGATAAAGGATAGAAATAGCACTGATCACACTTGTTGATGACGGGGAGCAGGCATGAGTAGGATGGGAATAGTGCATTCAATCAGGCTCTTCTTGACCTCATGGCAGCTTTCAATATCATTGATCATGGTTTTCTTTAAGGTTAACTTTGGAATTGAGTGTGGGAGACACAGTCTTGTGCTGGTTCACTTCCTTACTCTGGGACTGGTCCCAATTAGTATTGATAGGGAGTAAGAAGTCCAGTGCCTTTTTAACATCTATATGAAGCTGTGGGGATCTGGATGGGGAACAACAGGCTATAATTGAATGGAGTGATTGTATGTAAAAGGCTCTTCTCTATATGAGAGTTTACCATTTTTAGCCCTGGGTGAGATTGCACTGTCCTAAATGGAGCTGGTATATAATCTGGGGGTCCTCCTAGATTCACCACTGCTGCTTGAAGAGCAGGTGACAGTCATGAATAGAACAACTCAACTTTGTGTTGTACACCAATTATGTCCTTTTCTGGATCAAGAAGCCCTGGTTGGAATCTAGGAAGAGAGCCTTCTCTGCTGTTCCCTTGCCCTCTGCCATAGTAGGCTTCCAAAAGAATATTAAGACCTGAATCTGTCAATTGCCAGAGGGGTTGAAGAGTGATATGTGACTCTGGGGATGTATGCTGATATGAAAGTTACTGCCCCTGCTTTTAAAAAAAATTGTAATATTTTAATTTTAACTTTGTTTTTAATTCTACTTTATCTTTGGGGGGTTTTGATGTTTTTATACCATTTTCATGTTTACATTGTAAACTGCTCTGGTCACTTAGTGAGATGGGAGGTATAGAAATGTGTTCAACAAATAAAGAGTATAGAGCAAGATTTAGGAGCCAAGCTAGCATCAATATGTTGGAAGAGCAAGGAAGTGAAATTTCAGAAGCATCATCTGCTAGGAACAAAATTTTAAGATATCTTTTTAAAAAAGCAGATAGAGCAAAAATTCCCTTGCATGACATTTCCTGACTATCTAAAATCTCATATTTTATTATTATTTTCATTAACAGGTTATTAGAAAATTGCTAATAAATATAGTAATATTTTATATCTCATTATTAACAGGATGAATGCAGTGAAGTCAGCATATTTCTTGGTATTTAATGCAAAACATTTTTTCTCCAGCCTGATTTTGAAGACTTTGTTTCATATATGCTGTCTGCACCCTCCTATATTCTGATAATATCTGAAAGAAAGCATGGCCCAAGTATGCCTTTTTTACATGAATTGGAAGCAGTGGAAGAGGAAGAGGAGGAAGAAGAAGAGGAGGAGGAGGAGGAAGAAGAAAAGGAAGAAGAAGAAAAAATGAAAGAAAAGGGAGAATTTTTATCTGAAGCATGGAGGAAACACTCTGTGACACCTGTAATTGGGTATGTCATGTATGTTTATACATATGTATATATGAGAAAAAGATTTATTCTGCAAGTCCATAATTCACAATTAGTATCAGGCTGGATTCAGGCTTAAAACAGATCCATTTCAACCAAATGCATTATATTAGTCTAATGTAAATCCCATTAAGTTATTGAGATCCAACCAGTGGTAGGATTCAGTCGGTTCGCACCACTTCGGCAGAACCGGTAGCTAATTTTTCATTGCCCAGGCCCAGAATGGACTTCTGGAAGTGGCATCCATACAGAGAACCTGTTGTTCACATATTTGAATCCCACCACTGGATCCAACAATTTGTTCACTGAACACAATTTCTGTTGAAATTAATGGGATTTATAGCCTTGAATATCTTGTTGCCCAATCTGATCTAAGTTAGCTAAAATTGCCTGGTTTCATTCAATTACTTGCCTAATGGCTATAATTTAGACAGACTTTAAAGATTAGGCTCATAATATATTACAGGATCATTTTGAAGCTGAAAGAATTTAATATATTCAGGCTTTAATTGATTTTTGCAGAATTTATTATTTAGAGGTTATAGTAGAGAAGGCCAACTGTCATATCCCTGACTAGTCCCCTCCTTCCATCTGGAATAACTGTCACAATCCACCAAGTGCACAACTTTGAAAAGGATTCACATGAATTGGTGAACAAGGAAAATTAATCAGATAAAACCAAAATCAAACAGCCAGCTTGCCCCCACATACCTTGCTGCAGCTTTTAATATCTTTCAGAAGCTACTAGTGTCCACCTAGGTTTGTAAGAACTTATTAAAATAAAAGGAAAAAAGGAGGCCATGAATTCATATAAAGATTTGGTTTTTGTGTTGTGATGAATATATGCCCTGATGCCCTAATACAGTGGTTCTCAACCTGTGGGTCGGGACCCCATTTGGGGTCGATCGACCATTTCACGGGGGTCGCCAAGCAAGGCTGTCCGCCATTTTTTTGTCCGCCATTTTTTTGTACGCCATTTTTCCCCCTTTTCTGGCGGGTGCCTTACCTCCCTTGGACTGGGCCAGCTGGTGGTCGGCCTGCTCCGTCTCTGCCGCTTGCCAGCTACGCCTCGGCCGGCACAGGGGGCAGAACCACGCATGCACGGCGCTCCCGGGCAGGGAAAGTCCTCAACTTACGACCGGTTGGGTAGTCCTCGACTTACGATCGGTTTAGTCCTCGACTTATGACCGGTTTAGTCCTCGACTTACGACCGGTTGGGGTCGCAGCATTAAAAAGGTTGAGAACCACTGCCCTAATATAAAAGAGAGGGAGGGAGGAAGAAAGAGGAGGTAAACCAAAATTTATCAACACCGTAATGTGTATGCAGATATAATTATTTGAATAAATTTAGTAATTCAAAAACTAGAATGGCAGTTCACTAATTCATTTGGACCACTTCTAAAACAGTCAATTCATCAGAACGTTGAGATAATTTTCAGAGGGAGAATTTTTTAAATGCTTGCTATTCTCATATTTTGTGACAGCAAATAGTAAGCTTGGCTAATCTCATAAGCATAAATCAGTTATTACATTGTTTATGTTTCTGAATGGGAGACTATCTGGGAATCCCAGGCCAAAAGGCTAAATTGGGAAGTTGAAAAAAACACCTCAGAAAAAAGCAAAGGCAAATCATTTTTGTATTGTTGCTAAAGGACTTAAGGAAATATTTACTTTGTTCAGTATAATATGGTATTACCCTCACATCTCTTTTTTGCCTTTGACATATTATCATGCAATATTGGCTTCAGGATCTGAGTATTTAATTTTGAAGATATTGAAGATAAAGTAAGTCCCGTGTTAATATTAAATACATTTTTTTAGAATTATTTTCCTTTTTGATAGTTTGAAAGAGATGTTGCAAAACCAAGACCTGTTACATCACTGTGATATTCAGGATCGTGTTGAAGAAACAAGCAGGCAACTTGCCTTCTTTTTCTCTGATTTTTCCAAGCAAAGGAGTGAAAAAGTTGTTGAACGAACGGTGGCATTGATCAGACCTTCTCTTTTAAAAGAAAGAAGAGGTTGGTGGAAATTATTACAGGCACTTTGCACACAACTGAAATATATGGTACTTTGCTATTCTTACTAGGTTTTGATAAAAAGAAAGTGGAAGAACGGCAGATGTGATGGTGTTTTATGAGATTTGGTAAGAGCTGACAGTACTTTAGAGAGATGATTTCATGTGTCTGAGAAGTTACCTTTTCTAGCTTGAGGAACCTACTCTGATTCAAAGTCCTGTCACTTGTTTCTTTGTTAGGATTACACTATTTTCAAATGTATACATTGCAATTTTATCCCATCTTTTTACATTAAAAAACAACAGAACATACTTAAGCAAACAGATCTAAAGAAGTACACACTAATGTTGCTTAAAATGTGGTGTAGTTTGAAACATACAGACTTATTCTCTCTCTTTTTCTTTTTCTTTCGTGCTTGGGTATAAATGTGTAAGCTATAAGCCAAATTAACTGAAAGCTTAAAGGAAAACTACTCTGGAAAGCTCAACAGGAAAGTATTATGGAACAGCCTTTTCCAACATTGAAACCTTTCTGATTTGTGAACTAGGAAAATTCCCCAGCTACTATGGACATTATTCAGAATACTGGGGATTAATAGAGAGTGCCTGTTTTTTCAGAAGGCTATCACAGAAATCTACTGTGTATTTCAAATGATCATTTACACATGAATATTCTCAAGCAGCAAATATCTAACTGCACAATGAACCAGTCATTTTGCTATGGAAGATTTCTTTGTATTGTTGAACTTATATCCTGATTTTCCGTTCAGCAAAATTACCCATTATCTGTGTAATAATTTAAATAATCTTGTCTCAATCCATTATAGCTCTCTTTATTATTTAGTTTACGATTGTGATAAATCTATTTCCTCCATCAATTGCTTTCTTTTCAGTGTTAACAGGTTTACTCTCTCCAGGTATTGGGATGTAATTTAGCTGTTAGATCAGAAAAATGTATAGAACATGAAAGAGAATGTTTACACTGAAGCACAGAATAAGATTTGAGACTGAAATTGATAGGATTGTGAAGCTGTATCATCCCCATATTAGAGAAGCACCAGTCATTTACCTATATTTGTACATAGATAAAAGTAATGTGGTCAATATAATTTTTACTATGCAGAATCTATTCTGAATAGAATTGTAGAAAATGGCTTTGAAATAGCCATGCAAAAGGAAATCATCTTATCAGAAGAACAAGCTCGTGAATTCTACCGAGAACATGAAAATCAAGATTATTTTCCATTTCTTTTGGAACAAATGACCAGGTACCCAAGTTAAATGAATTTTCTACAATACAGCATTCCATAAGTAAATATCTTATTTTAGAATAGGAAATCATAGGTATGATAGTATTTTTTGTTTGGAGGTGTTGGGTGGGACCCCCTGATTCTCCTTTCCTTCTGCTGTAGCTGTCATGTGTAGGAGATGTTTACTGTTTCTCTTGATCCTGTTGAAAACATATATTATATGCAGAAGCTATGAATCCATGATGAGCATCACAAATCTGCAAGAATTTCTTAGAGCTCAACTTCCAGCACCAGCACCAATGGGCTCCTATGTGAATTTTGTTACTATCCAGGTTTACTTAAGAAGGGCAGAAATTCAACTGTTGGATTGAGGCCATCACCTTAACTGCTTTGGTCCCAGTCCTGGTGGATACACCTGTCATTGCCCAATGTTTGATTTCATCATGCAGTCACAATGTCTGTATCAATTTAATTTAGCAATTTTCAGTGATAGAACATGCACCAAAGACATTATTATAAAACTCTTGTGTTGAGACTGATAATCATTGTACGTATCCTGATCAATCATGAAATTCCAAATTAATTTAGATAAAATCTTTTGAATGTAAAGGAAAAATATTCTTAAGGCAAAAATTCTGTGAAGAATGTCTTGTTGTTAGTAGTAATTATAATTATAACTCATTATAGTTATAATGGAGAATTTTAGTTTAGTCATTAAAGAAGTTTAAAATAACAGAAATCTGTCTAAATATAATCAGTTCTGGTAAGTGTTTACATTAATGCTGATATCTTAAACTAGGGGTCTCCAACTCTACAGCTCATTGACCCTTCATGAAATTTGAGATCGTTCATTGACTCCCAGAAGATGTTTTATGTGAAAACAATTTTAACAATATCATTTTAGCAACAACTCTAATAAAGGATAATCTTATCAACCCTTCAGGTCAATATTTACTACTTTGGAGAATTTTGCCTTAAACATATTTGTATGGTTTTCCTTGTAATTGTAAATGTTTTTAATTTTATGAAGAAGTTAAACAAACAAACAAACAAATGAATAAACAAACAAGCAAGCTATATTTGTCTTGAACAGTGGGCCAACTCTTGCTCTTGCTTTGGTACGAGAGAATGCAATCCAAAACTGGAGGGATTTAATTGGCCCAAAGATAGTCCAAGAAGCAAAGGAACAATATCCCCAAAGGTAATCTTTTTTTATTGTAACAGTAGAAAACTTGTTTTATTTTCTCTGTTGAAATTATGCACTCTTGTGATGTTTATGACAATAGTGCCATCATCTGGACAGTATCTTTTTTTTTTTTTTTTAATTTTTATTATTTTTTATTATTTAAACCGACAAACAAAACAAAACAAAACATAATACACATATATACACAATATATATTTTAACATCAACTTCGTGCCAGTATTCTTCTATTTTTTACATTTTCCCCCTTATTCTTTTTTAAAGTATTTATCCTTATTGCCCCATTATTTCTTGTTTGCATTTTTCTTCCTTCATACATT